GTGGAATTCCCGCCATGTGCAGCTTCGGCGCACTCCTCATTCTTGGTGTTTCCGTCCCTGTCGGTTTTAACTGTCGATATTGTGACTCGGAGACATAACCATGAGGCAAAAGAATTTTTAGATGTCTTATAATTTGTTTTTCCACCAAGATATTGTTATCCAACGTCTTGTCAATACGAAACTTGCGTCCATCTCCGAGAATCAACTCCATTTTTGCGTTGTAATCAGCTTTGTCCATTATGACCACACTTGTGCCCTTATCCGGTTGCAGTAAAATTACGTCCTTCATTTTCTGCAGCTCCTTGATTGCAACATAGTGTTCCGACTTCAAGCAACACCTCTGAATAATAGGCGCGTTCAGGAACTGGTGCGAGATATCCACTAATTTTGCCCGAAACTATCCTGCATCATCCGTTGATATCGGCGATAGGTCGCTGAGTTGATAGTACAGATGTTCGAAATTAATCTGTGTGTGGAGCCTCTCCACCTTCTTCTTCGGTCTTCGGTATTTCAATCACAGCGAAAGAAAATCCAACTGCTCTCGCGTGAACAGGGCTGTTGACAGATTCTACACATGCTTCTGGTCCTCGGTAGGTAAAGGAATGTTGGCTGATCTCACAAGGGTACCTTGAAGGCTGCGCAGTGTCTTGGTCCTAGTACGCTGGAGAGGTTCAGCAGAAAACGCCTCAAATTTGAAACGGCAAACCAGTGACAAACCATTCAAAACGACCGCGATTCGCTTTTGTGTCTCCAGGAACTTTTGTTCTCGTTCAATGCAAGCATCGATATGTGCGGACGCAATCCTGGTTAGATTCACACTGTTAGCGGGCAGCTTATTTTTCGAAAGAGTTTTAACAAATCGAGATGGAAATCGACCTGACTGGATACATTGTTGATAGAATTTAACTCGTACGCGTTCCACCGTGATCTTACAGCGCAACGAGAACAATTGATCCAATGACCTCACAACGTCAGCGGGAAGTCTACTTGTAAGAAACTTTAAACACTGAGACCCTTCAGCCACTTCTGGTTCTTTTCATACCTTACTAACATAACCCAAACAGGAGAGCGAGAGGACAACACATCGTGCTGTCATCCCGTGACAACTGGCGTCATACAATAACACATACTGGGAATAATCCTCCTCATGTACATCAACGGCCGTTTTGACATTCTAGTCCATGGTAGGCCTTATATTTTCGTATACACACACAATCCTCGGGACCGAGAGTCCGTATTTCGAAACGTAAAACTGATCTCATTGCTTTTGCATGCTGGTGTTGTACATTCCAAATGAGTTTCACTTTCTTAAGAATCAATGCCACCTAATAAGGTTACGAAATAAATGCCAAACCAGTAACAATCTCCGCTAAACCACTTGTTTGTGGCAACCAAGCACGAAGGGATGGCCTCCCCTATTCCAAAAGCTTTAACTTCTCAGACCACTACAATACATCATCGCTAAGACCATGTTTCTTAAGCTGTTTATAACAACAAGTACCGGAATTAAACCTTACACAACATACATACGCCAAATGTTGCAATATTGTTGTATGGTATTCAGTAACGCAAGGCAGGGTGACATGGCGGCACCAGAACGTGATCAGTGCATCTTCACTAGATAGATCCTGGACTTTACTATTGATGGTGGACCTGGTAGGAATTCGTAAGCTGAAGCGAAACATAGCGCTCATTTTTTGACGTGATACGTGAACACATTCTCACACAGCTACAAGATCCAGTCGCAACACATTGCATGCAACCGCTTCTGTAACAAAGAATGCACACTACCAGTAGCAAATGCACACAACTATTAGCGAGCAAGTGTTTTCCTCAATAAATGTGCATCAAATTGACATGGGATTTGTTAATCAGATCATCTATGTCTCATCAGGCGTTCCTTCCACTGATCGTCGCCTGTCTTACGACACCAAAGGTTGGGTAGATTCAAATTAATATATCAGAGACAGAGGTCCACCCGAAGTAGCCAAGTTGGAAACATAACCGTGTCTGCGAAAATTCTTGGTTGCAGATTAAGAAGTGCTTGCTTATCCCCTTAGAAGCCAAAAAGTAAACGGTATGAAATTTCCAATTCACTGTACTAACACCTATTAATTTCTTGCCTGAGCCGGTCATACTTATCGCAAGGTTCGGATAACAACATTGCGGCTGCAGAGAACAGTCAAAACCAACCTCATCCTCACTTAACCGACCACTGTAATATTCTTTCCCTATTCGGCCAAGCCACTCTAGACGTTTTTATGTCCGCATGAGAGTTGGCGACGGATGGCAAACTGAGTCCACTTTTTCATTCCTTAGGTCCCCCTATCAATACTAGGCCGCGTCTGCCTTGATACATGTATGTCCAAATAGTAGATCACAAGTTAAGGCAAACCGAGTCCTCATTCGCTTTTACCCGACCACTGTTATACTCGCTTATTTTTCAATAATTCTACACAGCGCTCATTTCAATGTTCGCTAGAGCTACTTCCTTTACAGATCAGCATACGGATGGAACAGGCTGCCATTGAGCATTATGGTACTGGTATTGTAAATGTTCGCTCCTCCTTAAGTAAATTACCTAGCGCGACCTCTGTAGCTGAATTCCTAACCATGAGAGCGCTCACGAATGACTTTGAAATTTGAACAACGAAATGAGAAGAAGAATATTGTATTGTATTGTATTGACACTGACGAAAAAATACGAAATGCTAGCATCTGCCAATATTCGTCCTCCCATTTCGTTGTTCAAACTACTGATGGGAACTAACTGGTTTATACTTTGGAATTGACCAAACAGATTTCATACTGCATTGATAGAAATTCACTATATCTAGACTCACTAAGACAGCCATCACACGCTCGGAAAAGCACTGTACGGTATTTTCATCCTTTCGGAAATCGTCAGCACTGCGCATTCTATCTGACGCTTGTGTGGCTGGAACAAGCAACTCAACTGTTGCCTGTCTGTGGTTAAGACCACTGGGCTGTCTTCTCCAACCGATTAACGCATTAACTGTTGTATTTTTCAGCCCGTCCCTTCCTTGATATTCTCGTGTAATTACTGCGCATGGGTGATTAGTGTCTTACTTCCGTACTAAGAGCGCTGGTGCATTGCTCATTCTACACGTCAGTCATTCGAGCTCAAATTTATCTTGAGTGCAACAATTCGCACTCCGTCCAGCTGCAGTAACAGACTGCCACAGGTCAAATAAGCTTGAGGTCTATCCGCAACATTCCACAAGTTTCACCGTGACGAATATTGCGACGAAAGCAAACTTGTCCTTGATCTTTAAAACCGGAGGCAAAGCAGCGGGTTAGAGAGTACTTGAAGAATGTGTTCCCCAAATTTGAAAGTAATGGTGGAAATGCAGCCGCATCTCAATCATCGCAGTCACAATTACAGATAGTGAAAGGTTTAGACTTGCGCATGCCATAAAAATTCAAATAACACTCACCGACTTTGACTTCTCACTAGCGAAGATGATTGAGACACATCAGTACACAAGAATCAGGGCCAAGTTTTTACTCCAAAGTTCTCATACTTAAACTGTCACAAGTACTTATCAGCATAGCACTGAAACACATGAACTGTCATTTTGCAATCTTCCTACGATCTAACGATCAGCATTTGATCGACGCATTGCTAGTTTGTGTAATTGATTGATCACGATCAACTGAGGTGTGTATTCCTAACTCAAGTTGTTACGCATTTGTTTATTTACTTGAAAAACCGCCTGTCGTTGTGATCCCTCTGTACAATTTGATCGCACCAACTACGTGAACTTTGTCTCGCACTGTTGAGAAATGTATTATTAAAGCTTTTTATCTGACTTTAATGTCTAACCAATGTTACTCAATACGAGCATATTCCCAGCACTGTAGTACAAGAAAAGTTTAAGGCGGCTCTCGGTTAATGGCGGTGATTTGCAGTTTTTTTACATGTTATTCCCGTCCACTTAGCTACACCTACTAACATAGGTCACGGTCACTTCTCTGGATGCGAGTCCTTGTGTCAGCAAACTGGAGTGTAGAAAGGAAGGGACATTTTTAAAGTGCACAGCCTTGGGAATAGCGGACGAGTTATCGCTTTTGTCCCATTCTCGTCTAACTTGTTTGAGTAACAACCAATACGTTTCTAGGTTCCATCGATAATGCGCTTGAATTCATGCCCAACTAGTGAAGGGCCAGTAGATCCGATAGCAAGCTCATGAAAGTTCCACAATCCTGGGTACAAGGACAGTGGCCAACACGACCTCACCTATGTGACGGTTTCGATGTCATGCAATCTGTACACTGCGACAATTGCAATCTCATGCTTATAACAACTAGAAGGAGCAACAGAAGAAACGCGTAGCCCATTGATTTGAGATACAGTAGCAACATTATACAATAGTAATGATATAATTGTCAATTGGTGCAGGATAAACCAGTTTCTATGTTGTCTCTTTGGAACCTGTTCAGTTAGCAGTATCATGTCCAGCTGTTATAGCCAGTTAGCGTTTTCTGTCTATCGAAAATATGTCAGGCAGGTAATTCGCGGTCAATTTAGTTGTCATTGATCCCGATACTTACTAATGACGCCGCTTTATGGATTACAGAAGCAGAGAAGCCAACTAAGGCGACAACGATCGATCATACATCCTGGAAGTGTGGCTACCTGTCCGTTTATGTCTGACTTCGAAGAGCTTTATCTGAGATACCTCAAAGTAATAAATAACAGATCTTAATCTTATGTTACTGAGTTTCCTGCACTAGAAAAGTTCAAATGAAGTACAAGTGACTGAAAGTGTAACTTGGTAACAACCATGTCCGACAAATTTATCTGTAGTGTTCAACAAATCAGTATGGCAAATGCCCGTACACCCATAAAGGATAGTATTAAAAGTTAGCTGCGGAGTAACTATTGCACATTTAGCTGAAAAAATGCTGACTTGGGAGCCATAATGGATGCCAGTAATATTAGACAGATCTAAGGATGAGCAGAATGAAGTACTCACTTTAACAATGATTGACCTGTCGTTACAAATAGCCAAACGCCCACCGAACAGGTGCACCCCATAGACTGCAAAAGTGAACATGAACACGACCAACAGGACAGATACCTGGAAGAAAGGTGAGAAAGTGAAAAATGCTAAATCCACCGAAAAGAGAACCACCTCAAACCATGAACAGATTGTTCAACGGACAATTGCAAAAACAAATGCGTATGAAAATGGCTAACGAAATACAAATCTCTGTTCATCAAAACAAAAAAAAGCTGGAAAAGTAGGTTACTTTGAAACGGTAGCTGTATTTGACCGGAAAACGTATCTATACATGTTGCCAGCTACAGTGTTCACTTAGTGCATTTCAGCTGTCAACGTTACCTTTGAAGCCTGGTAGATCGAAATGTATGATACTCCGGTTGCGAAACTGTAAGTCGTAAGCGAACTCAACAGTCAGTATGGCCGCAGCACCAGCTGTCATAATCAGTGTCCTCTGCTACTATGTACGTTGCAGCAGGTGTGGAAAGGGCTGGAACCCATAAGCTAATATCTTACAGATATTGCCAAGGGCCCAATAGTTTACCCGCCATCTAGTAAGAGCATAAGTATATGCTCAGATACCACGAGGGTCTGCGGTATTGCACTTTGCAGATGTATCAAGGAAGGAAAGAAGCCTGGCGTTTACCGAACGTCGAAAGGTGACAAACATAATTAGCAAAGAGCGAGTCTTTCTAATTTTAGTAGTACCCATTTTAACAACATAAATAGTTGAAACTTGTTGGAAATAAAAGCTGGCTTATAGCGAAGTAAGTTGCTTGGTGGCTTGACAAGAGTGGTCATGTCACTTTGGTTCAACTCTATCTAATACATGACTGTAATCCGCATCGTAATGAAAGACAGACCGCCCCAAGCTCGGCGAACAAGACAGCATCACAACACCAAACCTGAGGTGCCAGTATTTTGAGTTACTGTGGAATATCACGAGGAGTAGCACTTTTGGTCGTGGCCCGGAAAATGGAGCCCTGCATATGAAAAGTCACGGGTTTGATATTTCAATGAAATGTTGATAAGTGCCAGAAACATAAAACAGCCCACTGTAGCTTTACTGATTCGACAAAGCTGACCGGAACACTTTCGTTTATTATTTGAAGGCCAATAAAGTTACACGAAAGTGTGCGCTGTGTGCGTAGCGTCGATCCAGAGCGCAACTTTATCCAAAACGAAGATTTTTGCTATACAGTTACCATAATTGATTGTTAATTTCCTCGGTTTAGCAGAATATGAAGCCGCACACTTGTTTGAAAGCTAGTTTGGGCTAGTAAATAGCTAAAGAGAGAAGATTACAAATTTAGAATATTTAGAACACAAATCGGTTTTGAACTCTGACAACACTTGGCTATTGACACAAAATCTGTCCTCTTACTCTTTGATTTTGTGTTAAGAACAAAACATTACTATAATAGAAACCCAAAAGCGATTTGCATACCAATCCTCCTAAGCCTATGAATTCTGATTGGTTAATGCTCATTCCCAAGGCAGATTTGGTTTGAACATCTTTTACAGGACCCAGCGAGCCTTTTACTGACGTGTTCCTCCAATTGAGTATTCATCTCTACTGCAGCTTAGTATATGGGTAACAGGACTTGTATTAGGCCATTCGTTATAACGATGCAGTAAGTAGCAATAAAACTATTCACTCCTCCGTGGTCTCCAGCTAGTTGATACTACGCAACCATCTATGCTATAATGAACCGATATCCGAACAGCCGGTTAGTCTACAACTGGGAGCCAAGTTCTAATCATCGAAGCCGCAGTCCATCTGTGTAGGTGTTCAACTGAGGAACAGCACATAGCTAGATGTGACATGCGGAAACCCTGTCTCGACTCTGTCCTCGATTAAGTAAAAAATCACTGACTTTTTACAGATTTGTCAGCATGGCAACAGAAGGCTGATATCAAGCAACAAAGAAGGAACTAGCCAACAATGCAGAATTCCAATATGCTGCGTAATATACATGGGCGGTGAATAGTATTTGGTTACCTAGTCTGGCTGCTTCTTGAAGGTAAATATTAAGGCCCCATCGGCGAAGTTAATTCGCCCAATCACGGACTCAAATCCAAACTTGTTTTCTGAACTCATTTCCCCCTAATGTCCATACAGTAGATGTTAACAGGTTATGAGACGAATGTAAACACTTCTGAAGGTTAAAAACCAAAAACGTAATAATAACAGAGTAAAGTAATTAACGGAAGTCTAGCCGATGGAACGAGAGTATCACACGTAACTGAACACGCGGAGAGAAGTGCGCTCCACAGTTAGGGAACAGACGCATAGATTTGGCGGTCAATCAGTAAACCCATTTAGACTGTTTTAACTGAAAAGATATCTCATGAGAAACCATCAAAACCAAAAATAATTATTGAACAACATCGTTACCAGTATTTACAAAAAAAGAAGACGGATGGAAGACTGTCAATGCGGTGAATGGATGGAGCTATCTGATCAAGATGACGATGAGATTGCACACTGAAAGATAAAGTGTAATGAAGTGTCATGATGTTTGTAGCTAAATGAGGCTGCGTATTACCAGGGCGGGCAGAGGATATAGACAACTTACTTTCGTGAGAACAGGTTCGAGTTATGGATCTGGATTTGGAACAGTTCCGTCGCCGTGCGGTACCCTAGCACTCACGTGCGGTGTCCACGCTTTCCGTATAGTAAATGAAAAGCTTAATGTGCGCTGATAAGGGACTGGAGTCTGTTGCCTGACCTAGAAAAGCGACGCTTATGCTGGGCTTCGGTCAAAGACTACCTGATACAAAAACACGCTATTCATGTGCTACAGGATGTAACTAGTTGTACGCTAGTAAAAAAAAGATATTTTTCTCTGTTGACGAATGTTGTGCGATATCTCGCAAGTGCGATTTGGCTCAGAGCGGTCTGACTCTCAACGACAAACCGTTTAATCTATGTCCTACGATAATACACCTGGGATGACGATATTCATGCTCTCTTTATTTCTGTGAGCAAGTGGGTTATGCCACCGCAACAGCAAGATAGAAAACTGCATAGATATTTAGGACGTTTTCGCTACATGAGTCAGTACTTCATCCTAATTTGTTAGTTACTCGCTCTACGCCGGAATATTGTTCAATGGCGTGTAACAGGTCACAAAAACGAGAGCGCATTACATTGGAACACGTACAGAGAGCATTCAGCAAGCGACTTCTAGGTGCTTCTTCAAACTGGAATACTACGTTAAGATCAAGCTTGATCCGCTCTGTTTACGGCGCATGAAGCACAACCTAGTCATATTTTTCATCATCCTGCACAGAAATATACCTGTTTCTAATCGCACCATGACATTGATACAATCAGCCATCTACAAAACACCACATAAATAGAACTCAGTTGCAGAATGCAAATAAATGATCAGTAGATCTGCAAGATCTAAAAAAAATTTGCATTTTGTAAGCATGCTTACTCAGCTGAGCACCTAACATGTAAGCTTAGTCACCGAAATATGGTGCTCCCTTGATACATTGAATGCTACTTTAGATATTCCTAACTACTATCTATTTCGAAAAGATGGCAGCACAAGGAAAGGCGGCGGGTGCATCGTATATCTCCACCGGACCTACAGAGCAGAGTTCATTGAAGACCCACAGTTAAACAATGTCCAAGAATCTCTATGGCTATCAAACGCTGCAGTCTCCTTCACAATAGTTCTCGGTTGCATCTAAAACTCTACGAAAGCGGCAGCTAAAGATATTGTAATTATCTTCTTGACTTTCGATTTCGCATTGGTGTTACCACATCGTCTAAAGATAAGCGCTGGCGACTTCAATCTACCGAATATTACTTGGTTACCACAAACATCCTCATCATTGTGCAGATCTTTCTTATCGACTATCAGAGTTGGGGGATGGACTCAGTGGGTTACCAGACCAACTCGGTCTGTCAACATACTGGATTTAATCTTCGCCCTGGGGATTCCTGACGCACAAATTGACATCTTAAACAACCTTCTGGGTAGAGACCACAACATGCTACGCCTTTCCATCCACTTTGAAATGAATACCAAACTCGACTCTCCTACCCAGCATACTGGCATGACTGAGAGCATTTCGGAAAGCAGATCTGGTCCTCTAATTGGGATGATTTTCCTCTCTCCACTAGCGCCCACATTGCAGTGGGACATTTCATCAATCGCATCCCAAGTGTACATGTCCCGCATAATAACCGTGCCATTCCTTGTCCTATGAATGTAAGCGACACTCTGAGTTACTCGAAAACGAGAAAACTACTCAGAAAATTCAGAAAAACTAGAGGCTTCCCACTAGTATTACAGCTGCACGAATTCACCGCCTGCATCAAGCGCTTACAAATGAAACGGAGTGAAATGGAGAAGAAAGCCTTGCAGACTACATGCAAAGGAAAGGAACTGGCCAAATTACTCCGTCGTAGGACTAAGAATCGAATGTCTTTGATTACAGAACTTATTGACGAAATGTGTCGCCACCTTAACGATCCACCTGCTATTTGTGAAGCGGTTAGCACTTCTTTCGCTGCTTGCATGAACCTGGAAGCCAACCCTATACCTTGCTGTCCAAAACTTACAACAAGCGGTATAGATAAGGTCGAGATTTCTCTTTCGACCATCCCACAGGCTAGGAAGTCCATCAAACCATCGCTCAAACCAGACTCCGACGGCATCCCCCCATTAGTTATTAAATTTGATGGACCTAACATACGATTGTTTTTGTTGAACATGTTCATCTTGTCCTTAGAATCTAGCTACTTTCCGGATCAGTGGAAAACATCGTTTATTATCCCTCGTCATAAAGGGGGACCCAAACAGCACGTCACTAATGATGGAGCTATCCATCTTACTCGCGTCATCGCTAGCTTACTCGAAAAAGTAGTTAAAAGTGGAATCATGGACTTTATCCATCGTCAAGGGTTACTTAACAAATCCCAGCATGGGTACCTCGACAAACGTTCCTGTACAACATATCAGTTGTACTACGTGGATTACATCATAGAAGCCACTGTTTCGAAATATGCAGTTATAATACTGTTCGTGGATATGCAGAAAGCATTCGACAGAGTGCCT